ACCAAGCAAACAAAAGGGCAAACATCTTGAATCTATGTTTCTAAATAGCAAGTACATAAAAGGATGACTAATCATAAGGAATATACAAATAAAATTACAACTTCACAACCATTAGAATGGCTGTTTTGGGAATCAGGAGAGATGGTTCAGTTGGTAAAGTGTTTGCCATGAGAGGACCTGAGCACCCACATGAAAACTGGACACAGCAGTACCTGCTTGTAATTCCAGTGCTAGATAGATGACAACAGGAAGATCTTTTGGGGCTAAGACAGTCTAGTGTAACTGGTTAGCTCCAGCTTCAGTGACCTATCTCAAAAAAGAAGGGGGTGCAGGGCTAGAAAATGGCTCAGTAGGTAAGAACACTGGCTGCTCTTGCAGAGGGATGGAGATTTGGTTCCCAGGACCCACATGGCAGTTCACAACTATCAGCAACTCAGATCCTATGTCCTCTTCTAGCCTCCACAGGCAACACATGTATGTGATGCACAGACATACATGTAGGCAAAAGACTCACACGTAAAATGGAAATAAATCTTAAAAAAAAGAAGGTCAGAACAGGGCTGGCTTAGTTATGGTAGAAAAGGCAGTGTGTACATTCTCTCCAACTATTTTTGTGGTGGTCCACAGGATGCTGAGAACAAAAATCAAAACCAAAGAGAAAGAGACTAGGCTTGCTTTGGGCTAAGAGGTGCAGGACCTTTCCTCACCCACTACAAGGAGGAAAAACAATGCCTTTTTAATTTTTTTCAAAAGATCTCATAGTATAACCCAGACTGGACTCAGACTCAAGGTGATGCTCCTGCCTCAGATTCCTGAGTACTAACATTTTATAGGTGTATTTCCATACAACACTCTTGAGAAAAGACAGGCTGGGGCTGGAGAGATGGCTGAGAGGTTGAGAGCACTGGCTGTTCTTCCAGGTCCTGAGATCAATTCCCAGCAACCACATGATGGCTCACAACCATCTGCAATGGGATCTGCTGCCCTCTTCTGTTGTGCAGGCATACATAAAAAAAAAAAAAAAAAAAAAAAAAAAAAAAAAAAGAAAAGAAAAGACAGGCTAACAAGCACAAAGCACAGAAAAAAAAAGGGAAGGGAGAAGAAGAATTACTTTTCTAGTAACTGGGCATGGTGCTGAGCATCTATAATCCCAGCACTTTGAAGACAGTGGTAGCTAGGATCGGAAATTCAAGGTCATCCTTGGCCACACACCAAGTATGAGGTCAACTAAGCTACATGAGACTATCTTCCTCTCCTCCAAAACGCCAGGCATGGTAGTTTATACCTATAATTCTAGCACTTGGGAGGTAAAGGCAAGGAAATTACTACAAGTTCAAGACTAGCCTGATCTACATACCTTCAGGCCAGCCAATTATAAGCCAGATCCTGTCTTAAGATAAACCAACAAAAATACCCTGAAGAATATATACAGGATGCCAGGCGGTGGTGGCACATGCCTTTAGTCCCAGCACTTGAGAGGCAGAGGCAGAGGCAGGTGGATCTCTGTGGGTTCGAGGCCAGCCTGGTCTACAGAGCCAGTGCCAGGACAGGCTCCAAAGCTACACAGAGAAACCCTGTCTTAAAAAACCAAAGCAAAAACAAAAATGCAGGACGATTCTATTTTGTATAGTCCTAGCGTTTGTATTACTTGCCAACATGAAATACTAAATTCTACCTAAAACAAAACAAAACAAAACAAACAAACAAACAAAAAAAACGAACAAATATGGTAAGGAACTAGAGGAAGACACCCAATGCTGACCCCTGGCCTCCATATGCACAAACCCACATAAACATATATATACATCACATACATTCATGCACACACACACACACACACACACCACACACCACACACACCTACACCTACACACACACACACACACACACACACACACACACACACACACACACAGAATGGCTATTTTCAAAGGAAAAGAAAAGAAATGTTGAGCTGGAAGAGAAAGCTCAGCAGTTAAACGTGCTTTCTTCTCTTCCAGAGTTCAGTCCCTAGAACTAGATGGTAGTGATGGTTGCATAATAATGGGAAAGTACTTACATTGGTAAACACGCACATAAAATGGTTAAAATGTCCAGGCATCACAATATAGTATCTGTAGTCCTGGCAAGGCGGGAGGCGGGAGGATCATTTTAGACAGAAGTGTGAGGCTAGCCCAGGCAACGTAGTCATGGTAAGACCTTGTCTCAAATACAAACACACACAAAAAGTTCTAAATGGTAAATTCTGGTGCTGGGTATAGATCAATAGTATACTGCTTATCTAGCATGCTTGAGGCTCTGGGTTTTACCGCTAACAATTATTTTTTTTTAAAAGGATAGGGAGGTTAAATAAAAAAGATACAGCCCACCAAGCATAGGGACACACGCCTTTAATCCCAATACTCTCCAGGCAGAAACAGGTGAACCTGTGAATTAGAGGCCAGCTTGGTCTACATATTGAGTACCAGGGCCAGGGCTACACAGTGAGACCCTGTAACAGAAAATAAATAAAATAAAATAAATTGTAAAACTTATGATATATATAAACTTTAATATGAAAAACTACCATGGGCTGGGCAGCGGTGGCGCACACTTTAATCCCAGCAGGCGGATCTCTCTGAGTTCAAGAACAGCCTGGTCAACAAAGTGAGTTCCACTCCAAAACCACAGAGAAACCCTGCCTTGAAAAACAAAAAACAAACAAAACCAAAAAACTACCATGGAACATGTTTTTCTGTTTTGTTTTGGTTTTTTTTTTTTTTTGATTTTTGGGGTTTTGTTGGTTTGTTTTGTTTTTTCAAAACAGGGTTTCTCTGTGTAGCTTTGGAGCTTGTCCTGGCACTCACCCTGTTTTGGTTCTTTTAATACTCTTAGCTGGGGTTACAGCTGGTAAAACATCTGCCTAATATAATGAAGGCACTTAGTTCTATCCCTAGCACCACAAAAAAGGAAAAGAGGAAAAGAAATAGAGAAACACTCATTGCTCTTACAAGAAAATGTTAATTCTATAACAGCTAAGAGAGAAAAACAACAAACCAAAGGTAACAAAGTGACACTGGTACTAAATACAAACTAACAGGAAAAATAAACTGCCACAATAAAAGTGCTTCTCAGACCCTGAAAGGCTTGTGGATATTTAATTGCACCACAACTAAATCATTAACTGGGAGCTGGAGAGATGACTCAACAGTTAAAGAACACTGGCTGCTCTTCCAAAGGACCCAGATTTTTGACTCACAACATACACATGATAGTTAACTGTAATTCTGGTTCAAGGGAATCCAATGCCTTCTTCTGGCTTTTATAGACATCACACACACACACACACACACACACACACACACACACACACACACACACACACACACAGAGTATACAAGACATACAATGCAGGCAAAACACATACAAGTAAAACAAAAATAAAGAAATCTTTAGAAGAAATTGACCAAATGGAAGCCCACTGGGTTCAGAGATGGACTGTATGCTTTAGATAGGCAGAGTGACGAAGAGGATACAGAAGTGCAAAGTGCCAGAGATGTCACATCATCCAGCAGGTCCAGGATAGGAGTGTAAAATGAGGAAGGTAATATGATATGCAGCAAAAATTCCACTTCAAAGACTTTACAGAAATATTGACTTAAATATGCCACAAAGAAGCCTATGAATTCAAAACACTGAGTTTTTTGTTTTTTGTTTTTTTTTTTAAGAAAAAAGAAAAAGAAAGGAAGTAAAAACAACCAGAAGTTCTCTAAAGATCAACTAATGAAACCAGGTATGGTATCACTCAACTTGTGTGATGCCAACAAACAAGAGGCTGAATCAGGAGGATCAAAAGTTTGAGGACAAACTTGGGAAAAAGAGACAGGATCTCTGTGAGTTCAACACCAGCCTACTTTACATGGAAAGTACCAGACCAGCCTGAGTTCTGAGCTATACAACAAAACATTGTCTCAAAAAAAGAAAAAGAAAGAGAGACAGAGAGTGAGAATGCTTACCTAGCATATAAGTCTAATCTCCAATATCACACACATACAAAAGACTAGATCATGCTGATATAAACTACTCTCCATTTTACAAGGTAAAGGAGTCATACACATGTTAACAGAAAAAGTACAATTTTTAAAAAATCATTAAACTACTGGGATTTTTGTTTGCTTTTGCTTTTGTTTTTGTTTTTGAGACAGGGTTTCTCTAACAGCCCCGGCTATCCTGGAACTTGCTTTGTAGACCAGGCTGGCCTCAAACTCAGAGATACACCTGTCTCTGCCTCCCAAGTGCTGAGATTAAAGGTGTACACCACCATGCCCAACTGTTATTTTTTTTTATTGTAAAATACTTGGTATTATAAATTTTCAAAAATACAGGGCTGGAGAGATGGCTCAGCAGATAAAAGCACTGACTGTTCTTCCAGAAGTCCTGAGTTCAATTCCCAGCAACCACCTTGAATGAGATCTCGTGCCCTCTGCTGGCATGCAGGCAGAAGACTGTGTACATAATAAATAAATAAAGGCTTTAAAAAAAAAAAAAACAGTAACAAAAAGTTAGGAATTTAGCTCAGTGGTTGAGCACTTGCCTAGCAAGTGTAGAAGCCTGGATTCATTCCCAGTGCTTTAAAAAGAACATTAAGCTTTATCAATAGAGCATATGAAGTTTGTTGGGAGTACACTCATCCCCTATGATGACCTCATACCTTCATAAGCATGTCACACAGGCCCTTTATTTGTTATGCTGAGTGTTCATGCCCTATAGAGAGACACAAATACCAGCAGACAGAATCTCACCCATCCTATGACAAGGGCAGAGTATAATTTCATAACAAGACATCCACATTTGTGTTTTTAATTTGCTGAGTAATTTGTTTTGTTTACACCAGGGAGCAAACCAAGGGCTTTACATATGATTACATAAGTAATCTACCAAATGAGTTACATCCCCCAAATTTGTTGCTTTCTCCCAGTTTCAGTATCATCTCTAAAAAACTTTACATGACAAATTCTCACCTGGCTAAGCCTCATGTCCATGAGGGTGTTTCTTGCTTGGCCAATCTTTCTCATGTCCAGCTCCCCTGTACCAGGTGTCATCAATCCTGGTGTCATTCCACCAGGGTACGGAGTGTTCAGGCCACCAGGATAGGGTGTGTTCAGACCTCCAAATTGCTAGGAGGAGGACAAGGAGGAGGACAAAACACTGGCTTGCACTGTCATGCTGAAGAGCCCCACCTCCTCTAAACATTGCCCCCCAGTACCCATGTCCTCATAGGCACAGCTATGCAGACTCTTGCCATAGCACAGCTATAGAAGCAATCAACATTCATCCTTCTCACCACACCCCATTTGCTTCTGTTCAGATACTCACAGTTTGTCGAGGATCAACAGAAGTATGGTTCTCTCCAGTCTGTAAATGTTTGGCAAAGAAACTGTCAGGAACAGGGGTCAGCTTCTCATAGCGTGGGTTCCGTTGACGTTTGTTTCTGGCATCGCCAACTTCTGGGATGCTCAGCCACTCTTCTTCTGTGACCTCTGCCAACTTCCTCTGGAAATATACAGATATCAACTGTTACTCATCTACGTGACTTCATATTTGCCCTCCTCAAGCCTCTGGCCTATTACATCTTAGGGCTGATGAAGAAATGGCTTTCCATTAAAAAGGGGGGAGGCCTGGAGAGATGGCTCAGCAGTTAAGAGCCCTGGCTGCTTTTCCAGAGGACCTGGGTTCAATTCCCAGCACCCATGTGGCAGCTCAAAACTATCTATAACTACAGTTCCAGGTGATCCAACACAATCACACAAACATACATGTAGGCAAAACACCAATGCACACACAAAAGATTTTTAAATAGATTATGCATTTCTTTATTATTTATTATATGTATGTGCATGCATGCTCACATGCATGCATACATACAAGGACAAATGACAAGATTTGGTTCTTGCTTTCTACCACCTGGGACCTGGAAACCAAATTCAGGCTGTTAGGCTTGATGGCAAGTGCTTTTAGCTGCTGAGCCATTCTGATAATCTTGGTTTTTCATTTTATTTAAATAAATTAACTCATTGGGTTTGTACTATTTTACTAAAATATAAATTATTAGGTAAAGTCCAATAGGCAGTTTAGAAAGCATATGCCTAAATGGAGAGAAATTTAATATAAAACTATTTTTCCACCTTTAACAGTAGAAGAGGGGCTGGATAGAGGGCTCAGAGGTTAAGAGCACTGGCTGCTCTTCCAGAGGTCCTGAGTTCAATTCCCAGCAACCACATGGTGGCTCTCTAGTGGGATCTGATGCCCTCTCCCAGCAGAAAGGCATCCAAGAAGATAAAGCACTCATACATAAATAAGTAAATCTTTAAAAAGAAGAAGAAGTTCTTTGGTTTTTTTTTTTTTTTTTTTTTTTTTTTTTTTTTTCTTTTTCAAGACGAAGTTCCTCTTTATAACAGCATTGGCTGTCCTGGAACTCACTCTGTAGACCAGGCTGGCCTCCAGCTGGCAGAAATTCACCTGCCTCTGCCTCTCGAGTGCTGGGAGTTCCATGCTTTGTTTTTTTTAACACATAAACAGATGATCAAATATCCTGAAGCACAAACCTTCCTTAAGCAATTAATCCTCTAAACTAAGTAAAGAGCAGCGCTAGTAATGACTCAGCAGTAAGACAGCAGAGCAGTCTGGCCTTTTGCTGCTGCTGGGATGAGGGACAGAGAAGCAGTAACCAACCCATCTGCTCACCTTGAGATCTGAAAATTGCTGCTGGATTTTGGGACGTTCCATTCGGTATTTCTCAATCTCTTCTTTCTCTCTTTGTTCTCTAGGAAATAAAATATGTGCCTGCATTAGAAATGTTAGATGTAGGTGTGGTGGCATCTTGCCAGTGAACCTGTAATGGCTTCAGGTACTGACAGAACTGGAAAGAGGGAAGAGGGAAACAAGAGGCAGGATCTCTCTCTCTCTCTCTCTCTCTCTCTCTCTCTCTCTCTCTCTTTCTCTCTATCACTCTTGTCACAGATCAGATAAAGAGCAGAGAAAGGCTGCGGCAGTTCTTTATTGTTCTGTGTAAGTTGTTCCCCAATAAAACACCCAGTTTCAAAATACCAAAATAAAATAAAATAAGAGAGTGCTAGAGAAATAACTCAGTGTTTAAGAGCACTAGCTGCTCTTCAGTGGATTCCATTCCCAGTACTCACATATGTTGCATAGATATACATGCAGGCAAAGCACTCATATAGATAAAAAACAATTTTTAGAAAGATTTTTAAAAGTTAAAAAAAAAAAAAAAGAGCTGGGCAGTAGTGACATACACTCTTAATCCCAATACTCAGGAGGCAGAAGCAGGCAGATCTCTGAGTTCTACACTGAGGGAGGAAGGCAGGGGAAGGCTAAGGATATAGCTCAGGTGTAAAGAATTTGACTACTATATATGAGGTCTTGTGTTCAATTTCTTTATACCACAAAATAAAACAAGCAAAATAAATAAATAAATAAATAAATAAATAAATAAATAAATAAATAGCCAAGAGAAAAAAAAAGTATGGGGATACTGTTAGTGCAGCGGTAAAGTATCTGCATAGCCCACACAAGGTAATATCCCAGGCTTCCAGAAAACAATACAATACAAAAAACCCAAAGCTGGGCATAATGACCCATACCTTTAGTCCCAGCATTTGGGAGGCAAAGGCAGGTAGATCTCTGTGAGTTCAAGGTCAGCCTGGTGTAAATAGAGTTCCAGGACATCCAAAGCTACATAGTAAGTCCTTGTCTCAGAAAATAAATAAATAAATAAATAAATAAATAAATAACAGGTTTAATCCTCTGCATCCTCCCCCTAAAAAGGCAATCCTACTGGACATGGTGGTGCACATACTAAGGAGGCAGAAGCAGACAGATCTCTGTGAGTTCTAGGTCAGCCAAATTACACAGTGAGACACTGTCTCAAAAAAAAAAAAAAAAAAAAAAAAAAAAAGACAAAAAAAACAAAGCAACCCTAATCATAGTCAAAGTAACACCCCAAATTCAGATGCTTTTGTGGAAGCTTCTAAGCCTTGAGGCTATTCTACAAATACCCAGTCTTTATGCAGGTACAGCTGTTACAGACCAAGGTCCAAGAAGCCTCTGCAGTCAAATAGACATACACCTGTTTTTGCAACTTTCCTCCTAGACCAAAATAAAACACAACAAAAAGAAATTTATTTTGTCTGAAAGCTGGATAAGCACAGTATGAAATAACATACCTCCTTTCTTTTCTTCTTTCATCCATCCGTTTATCCAGAGCTGCATAAATAGCATCTGCTTCCTCATCATCTTTCTCATAGGGCCCACTTGAGAAGAGGCTCCCAGCATAGCCATTAAACTAAGAACCAAACAACACATATAAAGGGTCAGCTTTCCCACCAATACAGAAAGCAACACTCACATCCATAAAATGAAAATATCTAAATCTTAAAAAAAATAAAAATAAAAAGAGAAGCTATTCCAGTTGGAAGAAACTAAGCATACTAGTTCTTCTCTGTTGTTTTGCTAATGGATATGTTGTCAAACTGCCTTTTACTTATGTTTATACCCACAGATCAGAGCTACTATCAATCTTTACCAGAAAAATCTTTCTGCAGTGAATAACAGTGAAAAAGCTAACAAATGGTAAAGTGCTAAGAAAAAATTGCAGTAAGAATCCCAGCACTCAGGAGGCAGAGGCAGGTGGATGTCTGTGAGTTTGAGACCAGCCTGGTCTATAAGAGCTAGTTCCAGGACAGCCTCCAAAGCCACAGGGAAACCCTGTCTCGAAAAACCAAAAAGAAAAAGAAAAAAATTACAGTAAGTACTCATTCCTAAAATAGGACAACTGTATCATTTCCCCTTCACTGAAGAGGCATTAGAGAGAATATAAGGAGAGATGAGGAGTGCTATAAAATGCTATCTTCTGGCTACACAGCCACCGCACCCATGAACTCACTGCACCTGCTGCCACCTGCACAAGACAGAGCTAACAAGATCAGCCAGCCTTCCAACAGGCAGCACTAATTGGACTCAGTGGGTTACCAAAAACAGAGAACATGAAAATGGGAAGGAGGCCTGTTGGGAAGCACTAGGATTGGGTGGATCTGGAGTAGATACGATCAAAATAGTGTATAAACATATGAAGTTATCAAATAATATATAAAAGATATTCTAAAAAAATTAAAAAATATTTTTAGGGATTAGAAAAATAGAGTAACAGTTAAGAATAGGTTTTCTGTACCCCATAATAGGTTTCTCCACTGATGAAGTAAACCAGATCAATCCGAATTAAAAAGTAAAAGACCAGGTTTATTCGGAGCAAAATCAACTCCCAGGCAAATCCTCCAACCCCCAGAGATTGGGGGGGTGGGGAGAACCACATGGAGATCTAAAGGATGTAAGGTCGAATGATTAAATACCTTGTAAGTGCAGGGTGGAGATGGGGTAGTGATTATATGTCTGCCACAAGCTGGGTTTGTGTCCAATTGTGACACACTTTTAGGTGGGGTCTTGAGGTGCTGGCAACTTTGAGGGAAGAGCTGCCACCACCAAGAATGCACAACTGGGCTTTTTGGCTATCTCAGTGGCAGATTCTCTAAGGGAGAGGGGGAGGAGAAAGAAGGAGAGAGGGGAAGAGCGGGAGAGAGAAAGGGAATGATAGAAATGGGGACTTTCACAGAATGAGCTAGAAGTCCTAGCAGAACAAAGAATATATACTGCTACTGGGCTTGGTGGCACATGACTTTAATCTCAGTACTTGGTAGCCAGAGGCAGGCAGATCTCCGTGAGTTTGAGGCCAATCTGGTCTACAAAGTGAGTTCCAGGACAGCCACAGCTCTTGTTACAGAGAGAAACCCTATCTTAAACAAATACATACTGCTCTTTCAGAGGACCCCTGGCACCCAGGTCAGATGGCTCACAACCACCTCTAACAACATCTCCAGGGGAAATCCAATGCCTCTGGCCACCTCAAACACATGCAATCATGTACACAGACACATTCTCATACACACATAACTTAAAAATAATGAAAATAACAAGGTGGTGGTGGCACTGGCTTTTAATCCCACCACTTGGGAGGCAGAGGCAGGGGGGTCTCTGTGAGTTCAAGGCCAGGCTGGGCTACAGAGCGAGTGCCAGGACAGGCTCCAAAGCTACACAGAGAAACACTGTCTCAAAAAAAAAAAACAACAAAATCCATTTAAAAAAAAAGTCACCTCATCATAGTTGGTATCATTCAGATCCTCATCATCGTCATCAGCAGCTTGATTTTTCTTCATCTGGTCCCCCACAGTTCTCTTCCCTGGTGGGGCATGTCGATCATCCACAGGATCATTTGCATCCCGGGCAGGCCCAATGTCTGATCGGGTGGTAAAGCCAGTGGCACTGCAGGAAGCCCAAAGACATCATTATTTGAGTGACCCTGATCCTATGCTCTCTTCTGATCATCATTTAGTAACATCACTTCCCATAACTCTGGGAACCTCCAAAGATTCTAGCACTAATGAAGTGCATACTTGTACATTACTGGTCTTCTTTGTTTGCTAAACCTTTTTTTTTTTTTTTTTTTTTTTTTTTGAGACAGGGTTTCTATGGCTTTAGAGGCTGTCCTGGTACTAGCTCTTGTAGCCCAGGCTGGTCTTAAACTCACAAAGATCCCCCTGCCTCTGCCTCCCGAGTGCTGGGATTAAAGGCATGAACCACCAATGCCTGGCCTTGCTAAACCTTTTAACCTACAATGAGATCAGAGACAGTTTTTCTTCACCCCGAGGTGTCTCCATTTCTCCTCTACATCAGTGTCCAAGCCTTCAGACATCCCTCTTCTCTATTTGGGGCCTCACATTCCCAAATGTCTGTTGAGCACAAACTCCCCACTTTACACCAGGCCCAAACTGAGTTTCCTCCATTATGCACTCAACAGCTGTTCCAGGATGATCAGCCATTAACAGTCATTCCATAAGAGACATTATACACATAAGAGACATTATACAATCATCTTTGTCTCCTTTTGAGTCTGTCCATCCTGTGTGTTGCCAAATACTACTGACAAATTGTTCCTCAAGACCACAACTTCTGCCACAGCTGGGAATCCATTTATCATCCCTGCCTCCAACCTACTCCTACTTCAACCCACAATCTGCCATGTTATTCTTTTCAAAAATGTAGCTCAGCCAGGCAGTAGTGGCACACACCTTTAATCCCAGCACTTGGCAGGGAGGCAGAGGCAGGCGGATCTCTGTGAGTTCAAGGCTAGCTTGAAGACAGCCAGGGGTACACAAAGAAACTCTGCCTCAAAAAAACAAAAACAAACAAACATAAAAAAAAGTAGCTCATAAACTATGGGAGCTCTATCCTAATGCTAAGGTCCCCATAGCCTCCAGCTCCATTCTTTTTGCAGCAAATCCCACTATGCTAAGGTCCCCATAGCCTCCAGCTCCATTCTTTTTGCAGCAAATCCCACTATGCTAAGGTCCCCATAGCCTCCAGCTCCATTCTTTTTGCAGCAAATCCCACTATGGCAAAGTCCACCAAGTCTTCCTATGCTGATCCTGGGCCCTTCCCCATGTGTCCAGGGCCAGAGTGTAACCCTTCATATGGGATGGGCTCTCAAAGTCCCTTCTTGCACCAGGGAAAAATACTAATCCACTACCAGAGGCTCCCTGGCAGCTCCATTCTTTTTGCAGCAAATCCCACCATTCTGGATTCCTTTCTTTTCTGGCCTCACTGGGACTGAACTTTTTCTTTTATATGCAATTTTACTAAGTTAAAGTTAAAACCTTCCTTTTTGATTAGCCAGATAGGGAGATATACTATAGAATGCTTCTATACACTGTAAATATATATTGTTCCCATTGGTTAATAATAAAAGCTGACCACTAGCCTGGCAGAATAGGGTTAGGTAGAACAATCAAACAGAGGAGGGGCAGAGTCCAGGGAGACATGAGCCAGCTGCCCAAGAAACAACAGCAAACCAGTAAAAGCCAGGGCTACCTATTCTTTTTTTTTTTTTTTTTCCTTTTTTTTCTTTTTTTCGGTTTTTCAAGACAGGATTTCTCTGTGGCTTTGGAGGCTGTCCTGGAACTTGCTTTTGTAGACCAGGCTGGTCTCAAACTCACAGAGATCCACCTGCCTCTGCCTCCAGAGTCCTGGGATTAAAGGCATGGACCACCACCGCCCGGCTTAAATATTATCTCTCGTGGGTACTGGGAATCGAACCCAAGTCCTCTGGGAAGAGCAGCCAGTGCTCCTAAATATTGAGCCATCTCCAGCAGCTACCCATTCTATATGGAGAGATATCTTGCCCAGCCTAGGCACAGGGGTGTGGGGGTAGAGAGGTGCCTGCCTCAAGGAGATGAGACAGACTTAGTATACTTCCTAGGGGAGGCCTTACCCTCTCTGAGGAGCAGATGAGAGGTGGGGGGGGAGGGGTAGTAGGGTAGTGGGGTAGTGGGAAGAGAAAAGGAGGGGGAACTGGGGTTGGAATGTAAAAAATAAATTAATAAAAAATAAAGAAATAGCCGGGTGTTGGTGGTGCATGCCTTTAGTCCCAGCACTCGGGAGGCAGAGGCAGGTGGATCTCTGTGAGTTCGAGACCAGCCTGGTCTATAAGAGATAGTTCAAGGACAGGCTCCAAAGCCACAGAGAAACCCTATCTCGGAAAAACAAAAAACAAAACAGAAAGAAAGAAAGAAAGAAAGAAAGAAAGAAAGAAAGAAAGAAAGAAAGAAAGAAGACAGGGCTACATGGCAACACAGAGTAATAGAAACATGTTAATTTAAATGTAAGCGCTAGTTAGTAATAAGCCTGAACTATATATAGGTCAAATTATATCATTATACAACTATATAATTATAGTTGTAATTAATAAAACTTTCTGTGTGATTATTTGGAACTGTGCAGCCGGGACATGAAAGCTCCACCTCCGTTTACGAAACTCAAGTTCTCCACAAAAACAGTCAGTGCTCCTAACTGCTGAGCCATCTCTCTATTCCCATTGTCTTTTTTAAAGAGGTTGGGCAAGGTGCTGGAATCAAACCCAGGCCTGGGCATGGTACAGTTGGCTACACCTCCAGCTGCCTTTTAAAACTGCCTGTTTTTTTATTTATTTAGTGTGTGTGACCTGGTACATGTATAGAGGTCAGAAGACAATAATCTATTCTCCCCTTCTATCACGTGGATTCTGGGGATCAAACTCAGGCTTGACAGAGCCTTACCTACTGAGTCACCTCAACAGCCCACTACTTGCCTTTTTATGTGTCTACACCAAATTCCTCTTTTTGTTCGCTTTTTGAGACAGTTTCTGTCTTAAAACTTGATCTGTAGACCAAGTTGGCTTCTGGATCCCTAGTGCTGGAACTACCTGGCATAAATTCCACTTTTCTTTGCTTTTCCCAATCTGACACTTCAAATCCTCTTTGTAAATCTGACTAAAATGCTACACTCTTAAAACTTCTGTTCTCCTGTGTGTGCTTATATACACAAACACCAAACCTTGAATTCTAGTGAATTCAAGTCAATTCTAAATACTATTAACAGGAGAGACTTATGTCTCATCTAATGCATAAATAAGTAGGAAAAATACTATTCATTTACCCAACACCTTATGGTTGGCAGGCATAGGCCATTGCTGTCCAAAGGTGACCTATGGCCACACACCCTAGAGGGAAAAGATGCTTAAGGGAATAAAGGAGTAGCACACTCCTACTATACACATCAGACTCAACTGCTCCTTACAGCCGACTTGCTTGTGCATATTACTTCAGACACCAAAACAATGAGGCTCACACGCCTGCGTAATCCCTGAGGTCAGATTCACATCTCAGGGTGGCAGTCGGGCTTATTCTAACAAAAAAGGCCACCATGTCTGTCAAGCATTGTGTCAAATTACCTAGTGCCTCTCAGAATATATGGCGGTGAACGTTATTCTTGTTTTTGAGACAAGATTTCTTTAAGTAAACCTGGATGTCTTGGAATTCGCTACGCCGATCAGGCTTGTCTCCCCCCCAACCACCCCCACCGCGCCCCGCCTCAATGCTGGGATTAGAGACCTTCACCACCACACTCAGACCCTCAGGCACTTGTTTTTTGTTTTTTGTTTTGTTTTGTTGGTTTGTTTTGAGATGAGGTCTCTCTCTACTTAGTGGTCACAAGTATCATTCTCAACTAGGCCTGGAGCAAGTAGTGTTCCAGAGCACTAGCCACCCTTCCTGGTATAAGTTCCGCCCACTGCCTTACCCCCGGCCCAGCCCGGGTACATAGCCAAGCGGCGCGGGCATGCCCAGGAACGGCTTCTTCTTCTTGTTCATGGCGGTGTTTTTGGCCGAGGCAGAGAAAGATAGAGGAGCAGGTAGGCGGCCGAAGAATACTCGCGGTGTCGCAGCTGGAAGAGAGGCGGCTACTGCGTCGCCGGCGCCCCGGAAGTAGAGAGTGAGGTCGCGCAAAACTCCGCCCACACAGAGCCTCTGACGGAAGTCAAAGATGTGAGTTTGCAAAGCGTTTCCGGTCGGGGCTGCTGGGTGGGTTTGCTGTGGGAAGCTGAGCACGCGTGCGCGGAAGCCACTAACCATTAACGCAGCGGGCCGCGCAGGCAGATGTAAGGGTCATGCGTTCTGTTGCTGTGCCAGGGACGATGCACAGCCTGAGCCCAGTAGGCTTGTTGAGGAGCGTCCCGGTGCTGGCATGGCCTCGAATCTGCCTAGCCTTAGGAAGACGGATTCAGCCTACATGACCAAGACTTGCCTAGCTGTACTGTGTGGCCACCGCCCGTCGATACTGCGTGCACTCCGCAACTACTGCTCTGTGCGCTCAGCGTTCAGAACTGCGACACCCCCCCCTCCTGCTCCGTCCCACCCCCGTGGGCCTTCAGAGAATAAGTGCATGGGCCGGAGTTACATGCTTGGGAGTGATTGTGTGCCCAGGGGCTTTAGTGGACGCGCACCACAGTAACTCTACACAGATATTTTCTGCCTGTGTGCAGCTCTACGCAAGACAATGCCAATCCCACCTGTTGGGTAATAAATAGATTCAGGTCATGAGTCAGGCTGTACTGGGCAATAGCCCAAAGGTATAAAGGATTGCTTAGCCACAGGGATGATGGGCTCTACCTGCAGAAACAATATACTAGGGAAAACAACCCTGCCTCCGGTTAAATCACAAAAATAGCTGTACCTTCCCGGTAGCTATTAAGTATATATGTATGTGTGTGTCCAAATCCCTCTACATGTGCTCCCCTTTCATCCAGTGGAAAGATCAGGGCCCCTCTGTTTCAATAAAGCAGTCTCAACCTGGGGAGAGCATCAGACTCTAGGGCAGACAGGAAAAACTGCAAATTGCTATGCTGGACCAGGCAACCAGACTTCTACGTCCAGTGCTTTTCAGTGGAGTACTGAAGCAAACAACCATTCTTGGCTCCTCAAACAAGCTTTTAGGGAGGAACAGGATTGATTGAGTCTATGAACACTGAACCCTTAGGAACAGAGTCTGATTCAGGAGTTCAACAGAGAGGCATAGTACTGCCTGGAGTTCAAAGTGACCCGCAGGCAAATGTCAGCTAGCGTCTCTGGAAAATGGTCTGAGAAAAGAGAATGCTCCAGTAAAGAACGAGCAAGTGGGGATGAAGATATAGCTTGGTGATTAAAAGAAGTTTTCATATTTTTGCAGAGGACACGGGTTCACCCACATGACAGCTCACAGACCATAAACCCCAGGGCTGGGGGATCCGATTTCCGCACCAGGTACATGCGTGGTGCACAGACATATACATTCGGGCAAAACATTCATGAAATTTAAAAGGGGATGAATAAGTTAGGATACACGGGTATTTGGGAGAGATTGATCTAGCCTTTAGCTGGACAGCGTAAGTAAAAGGTCACAGGTGTGATTAGGGCCCCCACTACTACCACACCGAGGGGACCGAAAGTTCCTCTCTTGCCAACTGCAAAGCTCCTCCAGCACATTGCAGGAGAGGCTGGTCCGCAGAGCCGTACCCAGGTGCGCAAGGACGCCTTTTGCCCTGGCGGACACCCTCAGCATACGCAGCC